AAAAAAAACTATATAAAAAGAGAGAAAGAGCATTCAGCCAGTCCTGAAATGTAATCTATGAGGAAAATCCCACACCAGCACAGATAAGATGGTGCTTTATTTGGGGCACAGTCTTCAAACTATTTTAAGCGGTTTTCACCTGATTTGACTGGCGACTATTAAAGTACTTTATAATGGTTCAGAATAACTGCCCATTAAAGGTTTCAAGAAGGGTGCTGAGCGGTGAAGGACTTTGCACAAACTGTGTGCACAACCTACATCAAATCATAGATTTCTGCACAGCTTACAAGGCAATATATTGTATATGGCTGGTGAATAAAGAGATGTAGTGAGTAGTCTCTTTCTGGACATAGCAACACATCCATTTCTGAAACAGCTAAAGAGAACCCAAAGTCCTTGGTAATCTAGTCGAAGTGGAAACAAGCTAACAAGCTCCAGTTATCCATTTGTTACTTGCCATCTAGGGGTCAGGTCATAATATGAATGAAGCACTGGTCGTAACACATTGCACAACTGTATACACATGTTGTGAGGCTCTGCTCTAAAGAGCTATTCTATGATTGGTCCAATGCCACAGGATCCTCTTTTATGCCATAACCTCTCACTTAAGCTGAGCTGTTTTGCAAACCAAGGATGAGGTGGAATTAAACTGCATGCTCATGCAGCAGCTGCTTGTCAATCACAAAGTACACCCACCTTAGAGAGTACCACATTTATCATACATTTCTAATATAATGAAGACCCCTGTGTACAACAGGAGTCTTCATTATTTTTCCTCCTATCTTTCATCTTTAAATTGTTTGCAATAAACTCAACATGCAAACATGATTCATGTAGATTTATGAGCTGCGGATTGGCCAGTTGCAATGCACTATAAGTTGGATTACTGATCAGAAAATACTTAATTCATATTTTTTTATTAGTTCTGAGACACTGAATGCAAGTTTCAGGGAGCTTGATAAAGTTACAAATGAAATCTTTATGCATTGCATGGTCACACTTTTATTCTGTTCCAGCAAATATGCTTTTGAGGAACATCCCAACAATGCCAGACACAGTCAAATGGGCTGTGTGTCTGTGTGTGTATTTCCCCATTGTGTGTCTACAACCAGCCTTTTGTCCCGATTCTCTGTGCTGTGCAGGAAGGTCTAGACAGCTGACACTTACCTAATCCAGAGGGGTGGCTGAACCCATCTCCTGTTGGCTGACCTCTTTCCACAAAAGACAAGGGTCTGCTAATTTAAACACCAGTCACATTAATATATATCTATATTGGGGGAGATTTTGAGAAGAAATAAAAAACCAAAAATTACTCAAGAGATGTAGCCTATTCACATTATTCACTGGTAGCATTTAGTATCTTTAATATGTGAAATGTATTGTTGTTGCTTTAAGCACCAAATTATCTGAACCTTCTTCCTGTCAGGTGAAATGATTAAAACACAGCTGCCTTGCAACAAAGTGGGGGACGAGATTTACACACAAAACATTGGCACTAACAAAATGTAGTCTGGTTGCAACTCTGAATGAGATTAATGGTAATGAATAATAGTAGAAATTATTTGGTGTTATTTCACTTTTGAAAAGTAAAGGAGGATTAGTTAATTGCAGTGAAGGGGTGGGGGTATTATACAAAAAGGGGGTGGGGGGGTCTGAAGCACTTGTTCACATAATTTCCACTAATGGATGAATTAAGAAGATATATTAGGAAATATTTCCACCACAGGTCCCCCCCTTTATCCATGGCCCTGCCTCTCTACTTTAATTAAATAGTAGCTTCATTTAGATAGATTTATCTGAAGATTGTTAAATAGTAACAAGTGCTATATTAATTACCTACCTGTTGCTATCTCATAATGAGCATCTTTTCTCACTGTCTTCACTCCAAGTGTCATAGTGATGATTAGCCAAGACAGATGGTGAGCGTCTGCTCGTCAGGGCAAAGTTACTCATTAAAAACGCCAGTTATTTGCAAAGTGGGTGTGTGGGTTGGGGGGTGGGGGTTTTTCTCACACTCCCTTGCTGTTGTGTACCACGCAGTCTCCACGGTGCCTTCAGCCCCTGATCACGCACGGTGCCCCCGCACCATTGGTCTACCCTAAAACACACCTTTGCGTCCCATTGGGCGCGGCTTCGGGCCACGCCCATCTGTTCCCCCACCGCATTTGAAACGATGAATGGAAACGAGGCTGTGGAGGAAATTAGGAAACATACTTGCCTGGTCTTAAGTTGTTCGCACGAGACTTGTGGACGCGCGTCTAGGGATTAAACCTGTTTCCTGAACACTTGACGCACTCATACATATATGTAAGTACATATTAGCTTCGTCATATTTACGGTTTAGCATAGTGTTTTCTTTTCTTCTTACGTGTTTAATGTTCGTGTAGAAACACGTTGATAAAGTGGTTGTCAGCAGCTAATTAGTCAGACAGTCTGGTGGGCTTCATCAATAGTTATTGAGGAGTATGATTACGGGTGCAGCTTGTGTGTGGTGATCCGGGCCTGGGCAGGGAGGAGTTCTTACAGTAGGTGTTGTGTGTCTGTTTTGTAACCACCACACATGCTGCTTTTGTCCCCCAGCAAAGTAGGTGAAAGGGCAACCGCGCTGATGAGCAGCAGCTGATCATGCTTATCTCTCATGCTCTTTGGCAAAATCTTTAAGGCCCTGAGATAATGGTCATAGTGTAAATTTGATCGTAGGTGATGTATTCACTTATTTTTAGTGAAGGCTATCATTGTTGGATTACGTTGCGTGAAATGTTATGAATTTAAATTACAGTTAATTTGGTCTTTGCCAGAGTTACACTATGAAGTCTGAGGAGCATCACTGTAACATCTCAGACGTCCAGGGTGAATCCCAGCCAACTGACATGGGTGCAGGTGATATGGAAGCTGTGCGGGCTCTGATGTCCATGACTAAGCACTGGAAGTCACGAAACTTCAGGGTGAGGCACTACAGACCTCTGTCTCCCTCCTCAGACTCCTCAGAGGACGACCAGGTCACCACCAGTTCTGCTGTGCTGCAGGACTCTCTGTTTGTAAGGGATCCTTGTTTAGGATGAAATGGTTTCTATGTAACTGTGTGATTCTAGTAAATGTAGATGTATTGGGACAGAAGAGAAACTTTATTACTGACTTTGATAATGTGACTTTTCTTCTCAGTGCATGACACCACCATACAGCCCGCCCCACTTTGTGACGGCCTGTCCAGGTCCAGCTCTGAAGCCTCACCGACCTACAGAAGTGACGTCTCTGCACAAACACGCTGCTCAGCAGAGCTTCCAGTGCACCAGTGTGATCCGTCACACTGCAGATGGCCTCCACTGCTCCTCCAACCTTAATCGTTCCTCAAAGGAGGAAGAGGTCGTTCGGGTTCACATGCTGGACTCTAAAACTGATGTGAACTGTAAAGATGAGCCGAATAGCAGAGACTCTGAGGAGACTGTTACAACACAAGCTTACACTAAGACGTCCCCAAATGTTGTTCAGTCTGGAGACAACCCAGGAAGCCTTTTAGGCTTAAATGAAAATAAAAATACGCCTCAGTCTGTCCCAGCTGGAGATGCTCTGGTCTCGCCTGTGCCTGTCTACTGCCACATTGTTCCTGTCTCTTCTTTGGCCACCCTTGTGCAGAACGCTGTCACAAACTCGCACAGTCAGCAGCAACACCTACTGCCAGCAATCACCATGGTGCACACGCCACTGCAGCTGCAGCACAAACAAGAAGGACACACGGCTTCTTCTGCTCAGGTCTTCCTTGTAGGGGGTCAGGTGGCAAAGGGTCCCGTCATGCTCCTTGTCCCTCAGCCGCCTGTTCCTCCTGTCTACATTCAACCAGCACCGGTGACCAATGGTGGACCAAAGTTCGCTGCCATTGCCCCGGCGCCTCATCGCACCTTATCGGAGCAAAGATGTGTCCCACAGCAGCCAGAGGTGGCCCGCGCACGCAATCACGTTTGTCCCCGTGAGAACTGCAACAAGACTTACTTCAAGAGCTCTCATCTCAAGGCCCACATGAGGACGCACACAGGTAAGAGATAAATGAATTAAATGTTAATATAACGCATATGTATTTGAATGCTATGGCAGTTTTTAAGCAAATGGCACAAGTGTGATCTTCTAGTCATGATAGCAATGTTTTACCCGTTGGAGTATGTTCAGAAAAGTCCTTATTCCTGCCTCCACTATCCAACAGGTGAGAAACCTTATAAATGCAAGTGGGAGGGTTGCGAGAGGCGTTTCGCTCGCTCCGATGAGCTGTCCCGGCATCGCCGAACCCACACGGGAGAAAAAAAGTTTGCCTGCCCAATGTGCCTCAGCCGCTTCATGCGTAGTGACCACCTTGCCAAGCATGCCCGAAGACACCTGGCAGCGATGAGGGGACGCTGCTGAACTCCCTGCATGCAGTATCGTCTTCAGCAACAATAACAAACAAACTCCACTGTGAAACCAAATGACATGCTCTACGCTGTTGAGACTGACTCACACAAGACTGTAGATGTTTTTTACGTCACCTTATGAAAGGGCTATTGTGCAAACTTTGCTATACTGCTGTTCTGTAATCATTCTAATTGAATATAAACGAGGTAATCAAAGTGTTTACATTTAACTACTGCATTAGCATAAGCTGAGTAGTTACGTATTTAAATGTTACTGAGTTTACTTTTTTGTCAGTGATATTTGACCAAAAAATGTTACATGTTGTTTTTTTGTGCCATGACAATCAGTATAAAATATTTTTGCACTTTTTCTTGCACAAAACACAGAATTCCTTAATAAACCTAAACACATTTTTTTTAAGAGTTGTAATTTAAAATCTTTTCTGTGGTTCCCACATGCTTCTGATACCTGAAAATGTATCCCACTTCAGCTCATCACATGATAACTGTATAAAATTATCAGGCTGTGAAACTGAGGGGTACCAATTCTATCTATGCATACAGCTGGAGGAAGTTACAATTTACAACATTTGTGCATTTCTGATAAGACACACACTGGGATTTACAGTCCACTCAGTGGGGTGTTTATTACTCTTCATTTAGACAAGCACAGCTACACGTTAAAAGCAGGCAAGTGCCTGATAATTTATCATGCCTTAAGACAGATTTATGACAGTTTCACAGATATGATACACACAATGCAAGTATACTTGGTGTCAGGAAATACTGCTATATTCTATCAACACAGATGTTGGAAGAATATTTCAAACTATATGAGTAGAAAAAGAACTTGCAGTAGTCTTTTAAATCATTTTTTGTAAAGAAACAATGTCATTTTCAGTGTAAGTCGATTCATTATCCACCAGCACTTCCTGTGTTCCATCTGCAGCACATGCTGTCTAATAAAACCTGCTTGGCTGTCAGGTAGCAGAGCACTCACCTGCCAGTCTTGGAAGCAAGACGCTCAGCACTTTGGAAAAGCACGCAAACACCACCTTATTTAAGGACACTCACCTTTTAGCTTTCAAATAATTTTCAGAAACTGACGCCACGGTGACGCCAAACATTTTGTATGTACAGCAAAGATATGCTGCAAGCTCTCAATTTAATATGAAGATGCCACTTTTTAAATGTAATAATGGATTCTAGCCTTTGTGCACACACAAAAAAAACCTACACAACAAATTAAAATACAAAATACAAATCTTTTGGCAAAACTTTCTATATAATCTCAGAAGTGTTTCTTTTTATAAATACACTGCTTCAATCAGGGATACACATAATATACAAGACTGACAACAGCAAAGGAGATATGAATAATAATATCTGTCAAATATAATCATTTAAAAGTATTATATGTCTACTGTAGGGGTGTAAACGGTAGTTCAAGAGGAGTCCCCAAACTGTCTTTTCTGGACTCATCCATTTTGTTGCATACTAATTAACACCTACTTAGGGTTTCCAGGGCTGACCACACAGAAGTGCAGTGCACTGGGGTCTGCGATATGAATATGGTCTGGTCCAGGCAATTTCAAGCACTACTGGGAGAGTTGACCCCAGGGGAATGTGAACCAAAGGAAGCTAGCAGCAGAAACAAGTGAGAAAAGTGAAAAGACTTCTGGTCCCAGTCAGATGTTTCCTAAGCTGGGACCGACAGTGCAGCCTCTGTTTGGCAGGAATTGAGGAAGTACGGGACCAGGGAGAAGTTCTTAAGCATAGCCTCGTTGGTAACACCAGTGTCCTGCATCTCAAACCTGGTGAATGAAAATAAACAGGAATCAAGGACCATAACCTCCACATTCTTGCACAGAAAAGATTTTCTCCATCACTGCCAAACTTACCAGTCTCTAGAGGAGATGACGTAGTACACAGGGGGTGGTGGTGAGTCAGTGGGGGAGCACAGTGGTTGACCCAGACTGTAGGAGCCAGCATGTGTGAACATGAGCCAATCTCCAATGTTGAGCTCAGGTAAAAGACAGTGCTCCAGTACCTGGTCCAGATCATCTCCAGAGGGACCCCACAAGCTGCTGCTGAACACCGGTACATCCAGGGAAGTGTTCTGCTAATAAGGCAATAATTATTTTAGTCATTTTACAATGTGTATATGTGTGGGCAGTAGCTGATTAAGATGTTGTTCCTAATTTAATAATATAGTCCGTATACACATTGAGAAGTATAGAGAAAGTATTGTGTGTTGTGGTTACACATTCAACTGGCCCTTTGTTAGGTAAAGGTCCTTTGTTGGCTGGCTGGATGGATGCGTCCGTCTCGCTATCCATCCATCCAACAGAGGACCTTTGTGGTGGAACAGATTTGCATTATGAATTTGCAGCCAACAGATCTACAGAAACTGCTTGCTGCGATCTTGTCAGTGTGACCCAAAAAGTCTTGCACAAGTTTCAAGCACCTTGTTAAATCTATGCAACAGTTTTGTAGATAAAAGTAGTCCAACCTGGTACTGCCAAAGTGTACCTATTAAAGTGTCTAGTAAGTGTATACTGATCCATTGAGAATCTTTGAGACTCACCTTGTGAACAGATGGGGCAGATATCAGTCCTTCAGAGAGTTTGCTGGCAAACGATCCATACACTCCTTCGTTCATAGTGTACTGGAACGCTGGCTCTTCATTGGGAGACAGATCTGTTCAGAAGAGGGCAGAAAAGTTTCTGAATTACATTTTACTGTTTGATTCATAGCTGCACTGCTAATTCCCAGTATAATAATACATTTCATGCTGTACAACACTGGTTTCTGCATGAAAATGCATTGTGTACTGCTCGAGTTACAGCTGGAATGCAGTTTTTACAGAGTATGTCCTTAACAATCATTACCGTTCCTAAGTGAGTATCTTGCCACTAACCATGATCCTGGTCCTGGGGATCACGTGCCACCACCTCCTTGGAGATGACATTGACAGCTAGTGTGAAAGCAGAGGACACGAAGAAGTTACCAGGCTCAGCAATGATGGAAACTCCTGAAGATGGAGGGAAGTATAGGTCCACCATAGACATGACTGCACTATTAATCTGCAAAAGAGATGACAGAAGCCGTTACAATTAACATTAAGACATTCCTTCCTTTTCCCCCCACATGCCTCTGAAAAGTAGTTTAAATCCAGCTTCACAGTGAGCAGCTAAAGCATGAATCTATATTAGAATATTCTCAACATTTAAGACAGACACTTTTATCTTACTGTTCAGCTAGTGCTTACTACAGCTACAATGTACAAAGCTTGTCTTTAGCACCCATATGGAAAAGAAATAGTAAAAAGATATTTGATTTACTCATGAAAGTGGCCACTTTCTCATTACTTTCATATATTTTTTTAGTAAGTATACAAAACATACAAGTTTCATTATATAATTTTTCAAGGGATCTTATACACTCAACAAAAATATAAACGCAACACCTTTGTTACTGCTCCCATTCCCCATGGGATGGACGTAGAGACCTAAAATTCATTCCAGATACACAATATAACCATCCCTCCCAAACAGTGGTCACAAATCAGTCCAAATGTGTGGTAGTGGGCACATCTGCTATATTGAGATAATCCATCCCACCTCACAGGTATGCCACATCAGGATGCTGATCTGACATCATGAGTAGTGCACAGGTGTACCTCAGACTGCCCACAACAAAAGGCCACCCTGGAATGTGCAGTTTTGTCTCACAGCAAAATGCCACAGATGCCACAAGCAATGAGGGAGCGTGCAATTGGCATGCTGACAGCAGGAATGTCAACCAGATCTGTCGCCCGTGCATTGAATGTTCATTTCTCAACCATAAGCCGTCTCCACAGGCGTTTCAGAGAATATGGCAGCACATCCAACCGGCCTCACAACCGCAGACCTCGTGTAACCACACCAGCCCAGGACCTCCACATCCAGCAGGTTCACCTCCAAGATCGTCTGAGACCAGCCACCCAGACAGCTGCTGGAACAATTGGTTTGCACAACCAAACAATTTCTGCACAAACTGTCAGAAACCGTCTCAGGGACGCTCAACTGCATGCCCGTCGTCCTCATCGGGGTCTTGACCTGACTCCAGCTCGTCGCCGTAACAGACTTGTGTGGGCAAATGCTCACATTCGATGGCGTCTGGCACGTTGGAGAGGTGTGCGCTTCACGGATGAATCATGGTTCACATTGTTCAGGGCAGATGGCAGCTGAGAATGTCCCAGTTCTTGCATGGCCAGCATACTCACCGGACATGTCACCCATTGAGCATGTTCGGGATGTGCTTGACCGGCGTATACGACAGCGTGTACCAGTTCCCACGAATATCCAACAACCTCGCACAGCCATTGAAGTGGAGTGGACCAACATTCCACAGGCCACAATTGACAATCTGATAGACTCCATGCGACGATGTGTTGCACTGCATGAGGCAAATGGTGGTCACACCAGATACTGACCGGTTCTGGGTCCCCAGACCCCAATAGCGCAAAAAACTGCACATTCCAGGGTGGCCTTTTGTTGTGGGCAGTCTGAGGTACACCTGTGCACTACTCATGATGTCAGATCAGCATCCTGCTGTGGCACACCTGTGAGGTGGGATGGATTATCTCAATATAGCAGATGTGCCCACTACCACACATTTGGACTGATTTGTGACCACTGTTTGGGAGGGATGGTTATATTGTGTATCTGGAATGAATTTTAGGTCTCTACGTCCATCCCATGGGGAATGGGAGCAGTAACAAAGGTGTTGCGTTTATATTTTTGTTGAGTGTATGTGTTTTCATTCTTGTATGCTTTTCATACAAGTCAGATAAAAACTTTATAAGATTTATATATATCTTTTCCATATGGGCAGTATCTGATAGAAATGCACTGACCAGTTCCAGTTGGGCCTCAGAGCCACTGAATCCGCCTCCAATGTCCAAGATTTTCATGCTGAAGCCAATTTCCTCCTGAAGCAGACAGAAAATTGTTAATAACTTGGGTCTATACAAAGTACCTTGTGTTTATGGAGCATCCAAAACATAAAATTGTATTCAACAGAAATGCAAATAACAGTCATAGAGCTGACTGCAAATAAAATGCATCATTTAACACCACATACCCCCATATCAAAGACACAACGGGCATCGGAGATGGCATGAACATACACCTGGTCATCGTCACAGGAGTTGGAAATGTGAGACCTGAGGAGTAGAAGAGGTAGTCGGTGATCAAACTGGCAACTTAACGTTTAAATTTCATTTGCAGACAAACTGACTAAATAATTTGTTCAGGAGAACTGTGCCATCCTTGCAGTGGTCTAAGTACAAAACCTGGATTTGCATTTCTCTTCATGTCCTTCCTGTAGTCCTTACCTGACCCCAGCTACCTGCACACCCAGCTCCTTAGCACTCTCCAGCAGATGTCTGCAGTCCTTGAGTGAGCAGCCAAATGTCATGCTCATGTCATCGTCCGGGTTTGACGCTTCCGTTGACACCTGTAGCAGCAGCCTAAATTATCACAGAGGAAATAGATAACTTGGTTACTGTTTTGGGGAAACAATCGATCCAGATTAATCTATGATATAAAACCAGAGCAGTAAACTACACAGAACCAAACAGTTTTGCAGGTAGATTTCTTATCAGAATGACGGTCGATAGTGTAACCAACAGATAATTACTATGGACTGATAACATGGTCAGTTGTTTAACATATTCACTGGCACTTGGACTGATGCTTATCAAAAACTTACTTGGCATTGGGGTGGCAGCGAGAAATCTTGCGCAGCTCTGCTTCATTATCACACACCAGGAGGTCAATGCCATTTTTAGCAGCATATTTAATCTGGGAAACTTGTTTGCAAACACCACTGTAGATGATATCTTCAGAGGGAATACCATGGCTCTGCACCAATTCCAGTTCAGACTGAATTACAAAGATACACAGACAAAGCAATATTCCATTAAAGGGAACCTATTATGCTTTTTTGTCATCTTTTGCTTATATTACACTTAGTTTGAAAATTTCAGTGTATGTACAAAGAACTGTGAGCTAGAAGGTCAGTCTCTAAGCAGTTTTTTTCTACTCTTCATAGGATATCCTTTAAATGATCATCTCAGGATCATTGCTCTGGCTGTAAGCATAGAAATCTAATCCACCTGCTGTCCCAACCTTCCATTTGTAAGGGGTAGGGAGCCAATCCTTTGTCAATCCATTGCCAGACGGCGGCTTAACAGTGGGGCCGCACCAAAGCCAAATATAAGATAAATAAGGATTATTTTCAACTTTGAATCAGCCAAAGCTGCTCTAGAAGAAAGAAAATAGAATTTGAAATAAGTGTAATAGATCTCCTGTATCTATCTTGCAATGCCCATCAGGCAGATGCATTAGAGACAAATATTTATTAAATAATGTTTACAAGGTGGGCATTGACATGTGGTGACCACTTGGTGGTGCTTTTAAAAATATTTAAAGATCTTGGAAAGACACACATTAAATAGCCTTGGGGTGAATTCGTACCAGGGCCTCAGCCTTATGAAACACGGGTCAGCTTGATGATCAACACTAGTGCTAAATGTGCTTTTATATTTAGCAGAGAAAAGCCCTAATGACAAAAACACACACTGTCAAAGAGTACCTTGTTGGTGCATATGAACCCAGTGCCAAGGGAAGCAAGGACTTCAATCACAGCTGGGCTGCTATTGCACCTGACAGCATAGTATGGTCTGATCTGGGACATGTGGGTCCGCCAGCGAACATGCTGCCTCATTATGACTCCCAGATCTGCTACAAAGAATGCATTTTTCTCAGACTGGAGAAGAGGGAAACAAACAGGTGTGGAAGAGTCAGAAAACACATTAAGATTGTATATCCATTAATCTACAATACAAGCATAAACAAAAGTGTGCCTGTATGTCAATTAACAACCTTTAGTTAACAATGCATTATAATACAATTGTTGGTTTTGAGACAATATTAAAACATTAAGAAATAGTACATATTATTAAAGATGAAGCCCATACCAGTGTTTGCTCATAAATGTGATTGTCAATAACATCACAGAGGGCCATGCCTCCTTCCAGCAGGTCAACAGAATACTGCGGTTCATCAGCGATTCCTTTCATCCTCTCAACCGTTTTCTTCAAATCCAACAGGCATAAAGAATGTGGCTAGTGCGAAGTGGTCTTGCTCGCTCCCTCTCGAGCCCCTGGGGTCCTAGACTTATGCAACAAACTGTACAAGGAAAAGAGAAAAGCCAACATAAAGCACCAAGTTCAGCACCAAAAATCACTTTTGGATAATTCATATTCCATGATGTTCTCTGCTGCTGAAACCTAAACGCCTCTTTTGAAATCCTGAACTGAAGTCATTTTCAACTCAACGGGCATCCAATCAGAGCAGAGAACAGGTTCTGCGTTATGGGATAGCTTTGTGGAAGAGGCCTATTCTTCCTAAAAGCCGCTGTGAAAACACATAGTCTGGGGCACAGGGTTCATTTACTTTATCATCAATTACCCCTTACAATCGCCATTAATCCCTGAGCCGGTGACCCGAAAATGTTCCGTTTGATGGCATTAACAAAGGTACAATACTGGCGGCATCTGTGCCACAACTTTACTTTCAGTACTGTTGCACAGTACTTCAACCAGTCATGGTAGTTTGGACCAGACCAGATGTAGAAAGGTTACATGGGGAGACTAGCAATATGCCAACAATGACTGCTGTGGTGTACAGTAAAAAATAAATACATTTAAAAAATTTAAATAAAATCACTGCTCAAACACTGGTTAAAAACACAATGGAACAAGGCTGAACACTAATATCTCTTTGAAAATAAACCAAGACCTTATGTAACTTAGAAAATGCTTAACTGGGTCACTTGTTCTATCTTCACAAAACATACAATATACAATGCAACCCAGCTTTAATCTCAAGGAAAATACATGCATATTAGTTGGGTTATAGCTCAGATTATTTCTCTCTGTTCCTGAAAACAAATCTAACAGCAAAGCCAGTGCAGATAAAAGCAGTCCTGAACAGTGTCCTGTTATTTTAATACAAGTGCTGAAAATAGATCTGAAACAGTAGATCTAAAATAACTGAGTGATCTGGGACATGCTGAATGTTTACTCCTTTTGTCAGGACATGACAGTTACCGTAGAACTGCAATAATTCTTCACCATGCAAACACAAATACTGTACCACACATTCAACGTTTTTGCTATGAGATTTTTCTCAGCCCTCCAATTAAAGTGGATACATAAATTCCCCAGCTAGTTTACTCACATGGATGAGTCCTGGGATGAACTCCTCCACTATCAGCTAGGATCCCAAGGTGGCTCGGCGTTGAAGTCAAATGGCTCTCGGTATAGAGCTGCCCCTAGATCCTCTGGGTAGTTGTTGTACACCTGCAAAGGGGCAGATGAGGACGTGAGGCACAGCAGATTCAGTCAATGATCAGTCAATTGTTTCCCCTGCTAACACATGTTCCAGTGGTACTCCAAAGTACAATCAAATCTGTAAATCTGTAGAGGAAACTGGGTTTTTTCCTGGCTCCAAATGGATCTTTGGGTTATGACTACACACATTAGCACGATAATCCAGAATAGAAAGGCATTCCCTGATTTCCATATTTTTCGCCATTTGACAAAGACGAATTGTAAGCTCGAGTTAACGAATACCCGCATAAAGCACTGATACAGAAAACAGTATTTACATGCTGTACTTAATATGTGTTTTTTAAGGTGGTTTTTAATGTGTGAATTGTTAGTCTGAGTTACTCTGAACCAACCACCGGAACTGATGCAATGATGGCCAGATTAGCAGGTTTGAATAAATTAATTAGCAATGGCTACAACAACACTCTTGCCCCGTGTTATTTATCATGCTGCCCCTTATAACCACGTTTAACTACAACTTAACATTCATTACCAATTACTTCAGAGTCAAATTTCTTGTTACTGTAACAGCTTGCTTTCAATTCATGGAGCACATTAGCATTAGTGTCCGCGGTAGTTACACAGTAATATACGATGTATTCCTTACACAGTAATATACGATGGATTCCTAGTACCAACATGTTTTATAAAAACAAAGTTTTTTTTTTAAGAATGCTACTGACAACAACGTTATAGCTAGTGTGTTTTATTTAGTATTTAGCTAGACAATGACACGTTACTCAGTGCATTTAGCTAATAACATGCTAACACTCATAGGAAGCTAACAGCGCGGTTAGCTAACGTTACTTACGTCCGCTGAAAACCCAAAAGAGGGGACAGAACGCTTTTTCTTTTTAGGCGGAATTTTTAAAGAGTGGTGGGGAGACTAGAAGAGAAAACGATATTTGCCATGGAGTAGTTCAAGTTATTGTCGTTCGACGTTTTCTCGATGGCACCTATAGCGGACCATTTGTTACAACCGAGCAGACGACAGCAGCGGAGGGCGAACGGCAAGACCGACCCACAGACAGAAGCGTCATATTAATGCTGACACATCCGGTTTAAAATGTCAAAATAAAACCCACATTAACCGACATATTCGTTTTGAGTAACGGAGAAACCGTCAGAGTGAAATTAAACAAGAATTACAGCTTTTATTAACATTTTCCGGTTTGGCTCAACTGAAGTATGGTGAACTTGACAAACACTTGCTCGGAGCTGTCAAACCCTCACGCAACGCGATATTAGAGCTCGCATAGGAAGATGTGGAGCATTTATTAACATAATTTTAAAAAATCATTACTGACCTGCAACAGCCACAATAATAACAGTTAAAAAAAAGATTATTTTTTTCTATGCTGCAATATTTTGTGCACACAATTTGAAGACATTCTAACCAACTGGAAAAACAAAAACAAAACAATAAACCCCACAACTTTGTTGATCTTAGACTATATTTATAACAGAATAGCTATAAAACCTATGCTCCGTGGTAAATAGGTAATTTCCCAAAAATTACCTGTGTTATGTCTTCACTGGATCCCCCATGGTTCAGTGATAAGGACAAAATATTGTCCAACAAAGGTGGCACAGTCCTCCTTATTTTCTCTAGTCTCAGTCAGCACTCGCAGACATAAGCCCTAGACGCAATGGCTAGATGGAAACATGCATTTTGTCCTAAAGTTCAAGCTCAGACTATACTTTCCCTTCCTTTTGCCTTTGTTGTTGTGAAGTTGTGAAGTTGTGCCTGACTCTGAAAACGCTTGGTATGAGGCAGTTTTTACCCCCTCCAGGAGATAAATTTGCATGTCTCCCTCCTCAGAGCTGAAGGGGGAGGGTGCAAAGAAAAGCTCGGCAACTGTTAGCTGAAGGGGAAATCTTTTTTCTGGGGCTGTTTGGACTCTGTGCTTACATTAAACATAGGAGAAAATACCCCTTTATCATTCAAATATAAAGTGTTTTACTGCACAGTATCAGCATTTCAAGGCTTTGGGATTATGTTTGCCATTTCTAAAATAATACAAATAGGTTATAAAAATACAATTTATTTTCAACTATGTTCAGAAAAAATAAAAACAAGTATAGGAAAATAATTTTCAAATGCAATCCACTAATGTCTGTCTTCTACAGTAAAAGCCCATTTTCTGCAGCATCTCTTCAGTCTGTGACCCTCATAGTTTAATTTTCACTTCATTTTTACAGAGTGACATACAGACACAAGTTCTCCATACCTGCTGTGAAGTTTAGGATCCAGGAATTTGTGACCTAGGACTACTGTTCTTGTATGAAAACCCTGTTTACCAATTACAAAGCATTATCCCTTAAATCCCCAGCACCCTGACTGACCCACATCATATTTTTCTTATTTCACAGCAGTTCATGATGTCTTGTTGTTGTTGGGATTTTTTTCTTCCACATATCTATAAAATTCCTCAGAGTGTTAGATGAGAGTTGAGTGCTCCTCAGGGAAAAAATAAACAATAGCAGTGCCTGTTTCACTAATAAACCTATTTCGTGGAGTCCATTGTAAAGGCTGCGGAGGCGATGTACTGCGACACAAAAAAGTTGTTCCGTGTTTTGTGCCTGTTCTCTCTAACACTACACGAGTTATGTATATATAAGGCTAATCACACATAGCATCTAAAGTGGCTTCCAGTAACGCACAATGTTTGATTTCCATTGTTTGGATCATAATAGCCATCGCTGCCGTTGGGTATGCGACAGGGAGACATGTGTACCACCCACTGTGAGGGCAAATACTCTAGTGGCTGCATTGTGCAGCAGGAATTCTTATTTGCAAACATTGCAAACAGATTACATCAATGGACCGATATAGAAAGACCCTGAATCACCCCTGAGTGACCAAGGCAGGCAAAAAAAAGGAATAAACAACATGTTCCAAGAATCAAAAGGTCAGACAATTACATACAGCCAACAATATTGATTCCCTTCATTTTTCAAACAGAAGAAGTTGTTATGGGTATTTGTTTAATGAATATTCGTAAACAATTTGAATTTGTTAAGAGAATATACACATTATCTATTAATTTTCCATAACAAGCCATGTGCATTTTACAATATGTAAAATGACTCATGTAAAATACACTTTTCTAGTGCTCAGCTCCACACAATTACAACCCCCATATATACATATATATATATACACATAGCATATAAATAACTCATCTTCAGTGAGGCTGTGCAATATTAACTCCCAGTCTTATATAGCTGACAGCTTTCAAATACCTGTCAGTAAATGAGTTTAAATATTGCATTTATATTATGTCAGTACATTTATGGTATTTAAGCCTTTTCTTCTTCTTTTTTTGCACCATGTGAGTGAGTGTTGTCTGTTATGCTTGTATAATCACAATGACAAGTCATAAATTTACCATTTTGGTGGACATGAATAGTTGTTTAAAAACACCATACATTAGTCGTATGCAACAGGCACTTGTTAAGTCTCTCCCGAGTGGTTTCCCCTCTTTTTTTTTTGCCAAAGAATGTTGCTAAGTAAAAAGAGAACTCCAAACAAACTTCTCCTCACACTGACCTGAATGTTAAGCAGGGAAATATAAAGCAGCTGACTGCAGGAATATAGCAAATATTCAACAGGTATATCTTTAGAAGACTTAAAGCAGCAATATCAGATTAATAAACACCCTGATACTCCTTTTTTCATAAACACCACAGCCTTAGGTCTCACATAGCACCAAGAGGACCCACGGTAGTCTTATGAAGACTAATAGATACTTGAGAAATGTTAATGCACCCAAAAATAAACTGGAAAAATGGCTCCATATTTCTGTGATATGCCATGAAATGGGAATAGTCTTTATCACTGGGCTTTCCCAGGACATGTCATGTATAACAATAGTATCAAAGAGGTGGAGAGATACAACGCGATACCATAACGACTAAACAATAACAACGCCCAAAAAAATGATGCACATTTCACCCTCATTTCCCTTCTTGCAAAGATAGATTGCACAAAAATTATTTATCATTGTTACAGAACTCTAAAATGACTGGAATACTTTTGAAGTGCATTGTTTCTGGAGAAACCAAATCATCAGGTAGTTCCCATGAATGACACTAGAAAAGCTGCTTATGTAAATGCACTGAGTTTGGTGTGTGCATGTTAAAAGGCTACATGGTACAAGCACACCTGTAAGCATCAGTTACTTTGGACCAAGCCGAAACAGGTGATGTGGAATGTACAGTACACAAAGCATTTAGAGAGAGACCTTCATCCTTCACGTGTAGTTCTACGACACACTTGTGTGGCCTGTACTGTTAACATGGTTTTTATTATTAGCATTTTCTAAAGAAGCTGAAGGAGGGCAAGGGGAGAGCAACACGCTTGTTACAGGAGTTTTATGCTTCTATACTTTATCACTTGCCTCTGTTTCTGAACCTCCAGAGATCATGCAGCTGAATCTAAGCAGTAGCTGGCCTTCTGCAGACTGGCTGATTGTGGTGTGTGTGTCCCCTGATAACATCCAGGGAGACTGGCCTCTAGCCAGCTATGGGCAAACTCAACCCTGTCGTTTGATGTTGAGGGTTGGCTCCAGGCAGACCAAGCATTGTGTCCCAAAACAATGAACCCCAGACCCACTGAACTATAAACATGTCCCTTTGGGGGGCGTTTTCCTCAGTATTCTGTACAGGAGACACCCAAAGTCAGGAAACCTGACCCAGCTTTCCTAAATTTAGTTACTCTAAAGGCTCAAATGCTGCTGACTTGGCATCCAACATTGTCTGCCTTCTTGTCTAATAGGGTAATAATGAGTTTGGAATGTTGACCCAGGATCAAGTCTGAGATTTGGGGTTTATAATTAAGGAAATCTGTTGAAAATCCATTAAAACAATTATATTTTTTCTCATCAAAACTTACATTAATTTTGTTTGCTGTTACATAAGTGTCAAACAATCTTGGTGTTTTATTTCAGAATGTGGCCTAGCTAAACACACTCTCTTTTATCCGGATTATAGTCTAAACTATCCACATAACTCAAGCGTTTTTGAGCCTGAGCACCACCACCAGTCAGGGTTTTTGTGGGTTCAAGCTGAGCCAGGCTGCAGTACTCGCTCACCGCCAGCTGGGGTCGTTGGTGGGTCTCCGCAGCGTGTGTGAGAGGCCTTCCGGTTCCTCTTGCAGATCAGCTGACTGGTACTGCTGTCAGGAGCTCACGAACTGTACTGAATGGCAACTATGAACGCTGTCAAGCTATAGAAACACTATAAACACCTTTATTTTCACTAACAACTGTAACGTTTTAATACCCCGGTGAGTGAACAGCTAAAACGATATCAAAAAGTACCTGAGTTGTTGCCGTTAATAACAAAGCTAGCGAAATGGCTAACGATAGCTAATCCCAGCTGGATGCTGCTTGACCTTAACCATGTTTTTGTTTTGCCAGCTGCGGTTTATGTAACATATTGCTTTTTTTATTTTATTTACGGTATTGTAACGTTAGTTAGTAGTCGGGGAGTGAAGATATGGACTGTTGGTGAAAGAGAAACGTCAGCATGTAGTTGTCTTGAATGAATTGAATGAATTGTTGCTAGTGTAGCATCACTTGTTTAGTGGGGAACGGTGTCCCTGTAAGCAAACAGTCTTTTACTTGTAATCAGACAGACAGTGTTGTTTAACTAAATGCTGAGGCTAATAATATTAGAGAAAGCACTAGTCTAAGTCTGGATTTCCTTTCCAGCTTTCTCGAGCTGCACCAGTGCTGGAAACATGACAGAGTTTTGGTTGATCTCTGCACCAGGAGATAAGACCTGCCAGCAAACATGGGACAAAATGATGGCAGCCACCACGCGTACCAACAACCTCTCCACCAACCACAAGTTCAACATCCCAGACCTTAAGGTTAGTATGGGTTTATACACTTTTCAGGACAGTGTATAAACCCTGTGCTTGCCATGCTGTCCTGCTGTTCCCTCCAGTGCTGCAGCGCAGAGCTGTTACACTGTAGTAATTCATAATGATTTACCCCATTCATTTCAAAAAGTCATTTAACAATCGTTTAACAATCAAAATCACTCACCTTCTGCATCCACTGTCAAGAATAAACCGATTCTGTGTATCGGAAGCAGTCTGTACACAGATCTGTTGCCTTCATGTTGAAGCAGCAGGTAGAGGAGTGTTTCATCCACAGAGCAGCTCTGCTTTTCTGAATTGGTCACTCTCCGTGCAGAAGGTGAAGTAACCCCGCTGACCTTGGTGCTACGCGGGGTTCCAATGTCCCACTGCTGCTGTTAGCAATGCACGAACGCCTCTGGACAAAGAGGCGCCGTCCAAAGCGCACAGGGGCCCCCTGGATGTCACTGTAGGCAGACTGAACCCCAGACGTCCCTGTTTAAACACAACCCTGCTGACACTGCTGAAAAAGACCCAAATCTCAGCACTGATAACTCAAAACATGTTTAATTTTTGTTTTTGTGTCCAAAAACAGGTTGGGACACTGGATGTCTTGGTCGGGCTGTCGGATGAACTGGCCAAATTAGATTCCTTTGTTGAAGGGTATGCAACCTGTTAATTTCTGATTTGTACCGAACATTATTTTTCTCATTAAAAAGTTATTTTCTGTTTATAATGGCTCTTACTATTGACCTATTAATGAGAGTTGAACACAAAACCTGCATTCCCAGTCCTCTGCCACTCTGTAATCTTTCCTCTACTTTGTAACAATGAGGAATTTCACAGGGACCTGAGGCTAGTGGGCCCTGCA